TGGATACATAACATATGTTTTCGCACATATGTATATGGATCCGAATTAATGTTTTCACTCAATACTCAAGAAACATTGAACCACAAAAAAAAAACATTCAAGAAACAAGTAGTGTATACATATATAGCTGTCTTTCTTTAGATAATTATGCAAACCATAACTTGAAGTTTTTCTGTAGCATAATACTATAACATAAAAATATTTATATAACATGAATAGGAAAAAATGTTCTCTAAGGATCTTGATCAAATAAATTAACCAGTTCCTTGCTTCTTGTTCAAGTCATATCATATCACTCGTCTACTCCTCTAGGCTGCAGCCCAAATCCGGTAGCATCCGATCTTTTCATAATCCTCAACCTTTTGCATGACTCTATGAACATCCTGAAAATCAAAATATCCGAACCCATATAAATTTAGATTTTGACATAAGAAAATTATGATTAATGAGATATGTAATCTAAAGTCGAAAGATATGAACATACCCCCAAGGTACATCTCCGGCGAGCATCCAATCTCCATCTTTGTCTTCGTATATGGTAACGTATTCGCAGTTATCACCATCCTTCAATGCCACACCTACATATATATGTAAAAATATTAATTGTCTTGATTATATTTGCGATAAATAGAAAAGTACTATTTTCAGGTGGAGAATCTCTTATGTTAAGATAACTTTTTCTACTAAAAATTTGTAACCTCAAGGTTTTTTTTCTACGGTTTTGGAGATAAACTAGCTATAAGCTGAAACCATCAGAGATTTCTAAGAGACTAAACTTTAAACCACCTTCTTTTTTTCTTTTTGGGTCAAATTAAACCACCTATATATGAAATTCTCGTGATGATGAATAATAAAAGATTTCAACATATACATTCTTTTATATCACTCTTGTTAAGTATATATATAACATCTAATACAACAGAACTAATTAACCTAGATACAATAGTTTCATTCCCAATTCCTTCTTAATTATTTCGTGCATTGTACGTATAAAACGCTATAGTTTTTAGTTGGATCTCTCGTACAATCAATAAGTGTATTTCTTTCAAACAAGATCTAACCACTCTACTTTAACCAAAAAAAGAAGAAATGAAAATAATCTACTAACCGATGCCGCGGAAACCGAAGAGCTTATCTAGAGCGAAGGCTAAATCATCGTAACCTTGGCTCGAACCAAGATCCATCTTTCTCAAATAAGGCACACCATCCATGCTCACTTTCACATACCCTAACCCAACTTTTGTCTTCGAAGCTTCCTTTGAGCTGTTTTTCCTCCGGTAAGAGCAAACCGGCGGCCACCCAACCACCTGACTTTTCGCCGCGGGAGCATCATTAACCTTCTCAACTTCACCACCTGATGAAACGACGCCGCTTTCACATTGATCACTATTACTACCGGAAGACGTCATGATCATCTCCGTGAAACCTCTCTTCTTCGCCACATCTCTCCCCGGAAGACCCAATCTTAGCTCCGTTATCTCAAGCTCGAGTCCATCTTTCTCCATTTTTTTAAAGTTTTTTTCTTATTATTATTTGATACAATTATGAGAAATGAGAACTTTCTTCTCACACACTTCTCTTATTGTAGTAATGGACCTAATGGTAGTACTATACCGCGTCGTGCTTTTTATATGTTGCTTCGTTGGTCCACACGATGAAAACCAATAAGTGATCGACACGTGGAATCATTTGATATATAAAGTCTTCTTCTTCAGTTTGTGTGGGGAGACAAAGTGGGGACAAAGACAGGTCAACTGAGGATGCGGTGGTCGGTCACATGAGAGACACAAGTTTGGTGCTGTTTTTGATTTTTTGATTTTTTTCCTTTTCTCAAAATTAATAAAGACCGGCACTACAAGGTGGTTAAGGGAACAGATCCTACGGTTGTGAAATTTTCTTGTGATTTTTCTCTGACCGTTGGATTATTGGAATCCGAATCTCCTTCTCCTAACATCCCATGTGTCTTTTTCTTTTGCAAAGATTCTTGTTCTAACTAGTAAATCACAACTATAGTATACTTTAAAAAATAATGTAAGTTAGTGTTAGTTTGTTATTTTATAGTGGAAATAACAATAAAGTTTTAGTATATTTGTTCGCATTTCTAATAAGAGCATAGGAATATTTAATCAAATCCTACCATTTTGGGATATATATATGTTCGTTATCTCTCTTTGCATCCTTTTTTTAATTAGTTATCAACAATGTTTAGCTTCATAATAAGATATTTTCAGCAATGATTTTGATTGGTCACCGCATTAATCTCACATGGAGAGTATACACCAACTTTACTTTGTATGTATTTGTACCAAATATAGTACGAGTTAATTAGTTTAGGATTAGAAAAAGTAGTACCGAAGTAAAATTATTAACGACTGATTCATTATGTTTTCTTCTTTCTTTTTATTTAGGCTTGATTTTTTTTCAAAAATATCCATGATTTAAATTAAATTGCATAGCTTTTTAAGTTTTGGTTTGATTTATTTTATTTTTAGTCTGGATTATATTTGGATTCAATTTTTGGATACTCTAAAAAAATTATTATATTTTAATAGGTATAGATCATATATCGATTCGGTTTATACAAATTTAAAACATCTATTGTAAATCTTATTTGAAGTTTGCATGTAAATAAAATTCCCAAAAATAATATATAGCCAGTGGCAATTGATCATATCAATTGGCTATATATAAAAAAAAAAAAAGATAGATATGATCAATTTCAAGTTATAATTTAAGGTTCTTCATGTAATATACACATTTTCAAACTTTACTTATGAACCAATTGCTCACTTAGATTTCGGACTTTTGGGTTGGGGGTTTTACTTGTGGTGGGTTTAGGGGTTACTTTTTAAGTTTTTATTAAGAGGTACCCGAGACTAGTCGGACGTTAAATCCAAACAACCGATACTAATTAATCCAAAGAAATTAGTGTTATCGTGAAATATACGCATTTTCAAAATTAGCCTGATCTAACCAGTGACTTCGAACGGAGTAAACTAGTTTCAAATGGGTTCAAATTCAGCTAGACCCGCATTGTTGGGTTGTTGTTAACCAGCTTTAGCTCATCATATACCAATAAAACACAAGAAGTAATGATGGGATATAGAGATGTAGGGACATGAGAATAGAAAAGAAGATCGACC